TTTTCAGCGATTGGGGTTTCTTGGTCGCCTTTTTTTTGTTTGTTGCTTCTGCGCTTCGGCCTTGGAGCAGTTGTTTTCATACCCGAGGCACTGTGCTCATTGTTCTGTGTACATTTTGTTTGCGGTGCGTCCTTTTCAGGCTGTGTGTGAGAGCCGAGTTTTCTGCGGGACTGCGTGGTCGTACCCCAATCTTTTTTGGAACGAATCTTGTTTTCGTTGCTGTGCCAGTGCGTACTTTGTTCTACGCCCTTCGTTGGACGACAGGATGCAAGGTGCGCCCACGTATACAGGCGTACGTGTGCACTTGGGCCATGGACATAACTCTTCCCTCTTTGTTTGGGGGCTCTTTGTGGTCTTTTTTCTTTCCGTGGGGCGATGGGCTTGTCCCCTAATTCATATTTTTTCTTTTACGGTTTTTTTTTGGGTGATGGTCTGATGTGCCCTCTTACTGTGTGTGTGGGCTGCCGCTCTCTCGCTGTGTGCGTTACTCTCCGTGTGCCTCTCTTTCTCTTTTTCTCTTTTCTCTGCCCCGCAGACCAGTGACCTGAAGCGAAGTGATGACGGTGACGGTGCGCCACGTGCTGTTTGTGCTTTCCCTCGCGCTGTGCTGCGGCTGCGGGTGCGTGGCGCTTGCACCGAACTACATTCGCGGCTATAATCCTTTGTGCTGAGTGGAGTTTAGGTGAGAGGGACATATGCGAAGCAAATATATACGTTGTTAGTGCGGTGAAGCTAAGCGAGCGGGCGTTGGAGAGTGATAACGGCCCACCATCGAATTTTTTTAGCTGCTACGCTGCGGAGTCGGATAATGCGAAGCGAAGCGCATTATTGCGACAAGAGATGGTGTAGGTGTTGCGCAATACTATTTTGGCTAAGAGCAGTTTTTTGCCGATGGCCTTGCAGGGACATAAGATGCTTTGGAATGGCTTGTTTTTTTTTTTTGTAGAAAACAGTGTTTTCTTCGAATAGGGTCTTAGCGACGATACCTGGGGTGGGTAATCACGTGGCTGCACAGCTGTGGCCAGGGATGATGATCGAAGGTATGACAAGGGCTGATTGAGGGACTGCCAGACGTGCGAAGACAGAGGGGAGAAGGACAAGGAATGTGGAAGTGGGGGAAAGGGTGGCGGGGCTGTGCCCCGAGCCGTGAGGCCACCAGCAGTAAGACCATAGCATGCAATAAACTTCCTGTACCGCGGTGAGTATGGGGCAGGAAAGATGCTCGTTCAATTCTTGGAGCGTGTGGCCAGGCGAATGTGAGTGTTATAACGCTGACGAGATGTGACTCTGAATGCCGAGATTGCCCCTGCTGAATATGTGGGCAAAGCTTGATGTGGATGGCACAGAGGAAAAGTTTACGCGAGCGGACATGAGTTGGCGCTTTGATACCACAGCGGTAGTACGTGGAGGTGTGGGCACCCTAGCAGCCGTTTACGAAGCGACGGCACAAGTTGCTGGCCGCACACATTGGTATGTGCGTGGCTGGTGCTGTTGTTGGTGTGATCGCATTCGTTGCTCTGCCTTGGCTGCTGATGGGCTTAGTCTGTCTGTTTGGTTTTTAATCATCTGGATTTTTTGTACCGTTTTATCTTTTGCTGGTCTCGTCAAACGCTGTGTTTTTGCGAGCTGTCGTAGTTTACATCCCTGCTTCTCTAGCAGTAAGTCATTGGATATCCTTCTTCCTGCAGTTGGTATTGATTTCATGCGGGTGACTGAGTGCGTAAGTGTGCCACGGCGAGGTGCCCGGGTGGGATGTCTTCTTTATTTGCATGAAACCGTGGTGCTTTGTGGGGGTGTTATGCAACAGTAAGTCCCACTGTGGATCGCACCATGTGTGCGTGTGTCTGTGCGTCAAGTTGATGGCGTTGGGTCGTGTGAGAACGGTGTCGCAAGTGGTAATCCATGCGTCGGGGAGTGGCTGTTTGCTCATAAAATGATTTTTTTTTGTCTTGGCCGTTGTTTCTCTCTCTCTTTCTCTCTGTGTTCGCTGAAGAGGAGTTGGTGCCAAAGTCACTGCATCGCGTGGATGTGGAATGGCAGAGCGGCTAGGCGAATGGTTTCCTTTCAATTCCGAGCTGTACTGCAGAAGGCTCACTCTGTATGACCAAATGCACTGGGATGCCGGTGTAGCAGAGTCGTCGGAGGAAGATGGCGCCCCCTTTAGCTTCGCAAGGTGCGATTTTGTATGTGCAGCACCGTTTGGCGGATCTGTTGCCGTCATTCCGTCCCTAACGAGCAGTGACGCCACCGCTTGTGGTGGGGCGGTGCGGGTGTACACGAGCGCTGGGGAGTTCCAGGCGAACGTGTGTGTGCCGGCGGACGTTGGCGCACCCATCGACATGGGATGGACGAAGGAGGAGAGCCTCGTCGTCCTGACGGAGCAGCAGGCATGCGTTTTCTTCGACAGCAGTTTTGCGGGCGGGGGCTCCACAGCGAGGCGGGACGCCGCCGTGTCGTCACGCACGATTCGTCTGCAGGACGTTGCGTCCACCTCATCCTCTGTTTTGGGCCTTCGCGTGACGCCGACGGTGTTGTCGTGCATGCGCGCTGAGGGGCTGTTCTGTATCGACCAGGACGGGTGGCTGCGCGGTGTTCTGCATGAAGAGCGCCGCGGCCCGCGGGTGCTGGATCCTGTGCTGCTAGAGCTTGGCAGCCAGCCGGCAGCCATGGACTTTATCCCCGCCGAGTGGAACGATGATGACGAAACAGTGCTCTACGTGGCAACGATGCCACGGCACCGCCGAGGGGACAGTATACTGCACGTCTTCATCTCTAGCCTTGACTACAGCGAGAAATTGCGTCGGCGCGTTCCCGGCGGTGCTGTGGCGATGAAGGTGAACCACAACGGGTCTCACATCGCGCTCTACACCAACTGCGCCGCTTTGTACGTAATATCGAGCAATATGAAGTCTGTTGACTTCTCCATTCTGTTGGGCCCACAAAGCAAGAAGCCGTCAAAGATGGAGTGGTGCGGGCCCTCCTTCGTCATGCTCCACTTCAGCAATCCCAGTGTTCACTGTGGCTCTCGCTCCCGCGCCGACGCTCCGATGTTTTCCCTCCTAATTCCGACACTCCCTGAGGCGTCAGTGAGGTGCGAGAGGCTTGACTGGGAGCTAGAGGGCAGCGGCCGTGTGGCAACTGTGGCTGAGGTCGACGGCGTGCGCGTCATTACAGAGCTGGCGTGCTACTTCATTGAGCAGGTGCCACGGAGCCTCGCCAGTCTCTGCCGCATCAAGCCGCTGAGCCGTGCCGCGCATCTAGTTGCTGCGCATGCTGACGCGGTGAACCGCTTGCCGAGAGTGCGCCGCTTGCTATCGAAGTGGGGCAACACCGCCTTCGCAGAGGTGCTGGATGAGATCATCGATGCCGCTGCGCATGAGTTTTCCCCCGACCAGCAGCATCTCCTACTCCTCACGGCCGCCTTCGCGAATGAAGTAAACCGGCAGTACGACTCCGACACGTTTGTAGATGTCGTGCGGCGTTTGCGTGTGCTGCATGCGGTGCGCAACCACCCGGGGTGCCGAATGCCGCTCTCGTTTCGGCAGTATTGCGCCCTGGCAGGGTCGGAGCATATGCGCACGCTCGCCCCATCCGAGGCACAAGTGCTGGTGGACCGCCTCACGAATCGTTGCTGTTTCCAGCTAGCATTCGATATTGCAAGCGCGCTCTGTATGAAGCCGCTGCGTCTGCTCTCACAATGGGCGTGCTACAAGGTGCGGGACTCCTCACTTGATGATGCCACTGTGCACGCGCACGTCCGGGAGGTGCTCGGTCGTTATCCTGGTTCCAGCTACGTTCAGTGCTCACTGACCGCATTCCGCACAGGTCGAAGCACGCTCGCCACCACACTTCTTAACGAAGACTTTCGTGCACACAGTAAAGTTACCGTCTTCCTGCTCCTTGGTCAGTGGGAACTCGCTATGCAGTGGGCAGCTATGGGTGATGATGCCGACTTGCTCCATCTGGCACTCGCAAAGGCAGTGGCGTCAGTGGAGGATCGAGGCAAACTCTTTAGTGTACTGTTGAATTACCCAGCAGCGGTTGCATGGATACTTCTGGTGGGGCATATACTACCGACATGGAAGGAGATTTGTGAGGAGATGTGCACGAGGCACGGCGACGCCACGCTGGCACTTTACCATGCACGTTGCAGCATCGCGCGGGCTGTTGAGGGGATTTCGGGTGCGCCCGACGGCGAGGCGAGAAAGGAGAAGCTGACACCACGGAAAGAAGAGGCGGACGAAACCATTGATAAATCGATGGATAACAAGGGCATCAGTGGTATCAATCTGGCTGCAGCATCACGTCTCTCGTCGATTCTGAAGCAAATGGCGCCTCCCTCATTGGGCGACGCTGTTGCAGCGTTGGGGCGGTGTAGGCAGCTGCGTTCAGTTGCCGGGGGGAAGTTCTCCATAGCTGCCACCGCGGCAAACTACCCGTTGGTGTTCCCGCCATTTTCTGCAGAGACGCTGGAGGAGGAATGGCGGTGGCTCTCGCTCCACCGCGAACTCCTGCAAACACAGCAGCAGCTCGCCGCGGAGTACCATGACCCCCGATTTCGCCACTGCAGCGTTGTGCGCACAGTTTACTTGTGTTTCCTGCACGGCGGCGAAAAGCGTGCGGAGGAGCTGCGAGTGAAGTACCACGTCAGTGAGAAAAAGTACACGTACACAAAGCTGCTCGCACTCTGTGACGCCGGGCGCTGGGCAGAAGCTGAGGGACTTGGCGGGGCTTCAGGCGGCCGCTTCGTCACGAGGCCGCCCATCGGCTATTTGCCGTTTGTCGAGCAGTTTGCCCACCGTTCGCAGGCTGAATGTGCCTTGCGATTCGTTCCGCATCTGGACGGGGTCGCAAAGCGTGTGGAGTGGTTCATGAAGTTGGAGCAGCCGCGGCTGGCCATCGATGACGCATTCCACGCACGCGACGCGTCACTCATTCAGCAGATCATAAGAAAGACACGCGACACGGCGACGCAGGAATATGGAGAACGACGCCTGCAGGAACTCAGCTGAGTGGGCACTATTCTGTTGGTGCAAGTAAAAACCTATCGATCTATATTTGCTTTGAGAAAGTTTAACAGTGTAAGAGGCTTGCTGTGCCTTTTATGCCGCTTTTTTTTCTCTCTCTGTGTGTGTCTAACTCTCCGTGTGCCTCTCTCTCTCTCCCTTTTCTCTGCCGCGCAGACCAGCGACCTGAAGCGAAGTGATGACGGTGACGGTGCGCCACGTGCTGTTTGTGCTTTCCCTCGCGCTGTGCTGCGCCTGCGGGTGCGTGGCGGCGGTGCAGCAGAGGCCACCTGAGGTATCGAGGGTGACTTCTCCTGCGGAGATGCCTAAAGGGACGACACTGGATCAGATAAAGCAGAAAACAAAAGAGACGAAGGGTGCGATAGACAAGGCTGTTGAGAGGGCAACTAAGTACTTGACAAGAGCGGAGGAATTGATCAAACAAACAAATGCAGCCTTGAAAAAGAATGCCGTTGCAAGCCACGGCGAGGTTGTGGGCACGGGGAGGGCGGCCGACGCGATGCCGGACGTGCAGCAGCCGATGAATGCAATAAAACGGCATGTAGATTCAATGCAGAAGGATCAGAAAGAAGCACTTACATCATATAATTCGGTTTTGAGCACGGCGCAGACGGATACAAAAAGTCTTCAAGACGCTTATAAACACTTCAGAAATCTACAGGGTTTCTTGGCCAACGCTGACTTGAGAGCTGAGAGCGCAAGACAGAACGTAACGTTGGTTGTACAGGCGATGAAAAAGGCCCTCCACAAACTACAGACTTCAGAGGCATCCGTCAAACTGCTAGAGGAAGTGGAATCGTTAAGCAAGACACTCGAACCGATTTCACAAGCCACTGGTGGTGGAGAGGTGGCACCAGGCCAACCAGCCAGACCGAATGAGGACGCTCAAAATCCTGGGAACGTGAAAGGCTCGATGGATAAAGGCGCCGCAGCAGGCAGAGACGTCCAGCACACCACCGCGGGCGCTGGGGTCAGCCATGCTGGGAGCAGCGATTCTCCAGCCACGCCGGGTGCGGCAGCGCATGGCAGCAGGATTGACAGCGCAAAAGGAAACCCTGACACGAATATTAAACATATGGGACAGGAACAGCAGCAGCGAACCGAGAATGATTCAGCCGCNGATGCCGAAACACCGGACTCCACTGGAAGCCACTCGGTTGTCGGTAGCAGCGAGAAGAGTGAGGTCGACAGTCATGTCCCCAGTAACGTGGCCGAGGGCGACACCGTCAAACATTTGTCTGAAAGCAAAGCGGGCAACCACTTGATTGACAGCAACACCATCAGTG